TCACTCAGCATGTGAGTGGCCCCACCCATAGCAGAGGACACACTCTCGATCTGCTAATTACTAAAGGGGTTAATATCTCAAATGTAAATGTGGTCAATGTTGCTCTGTCAGATCATTTCTGTGTATTTTTTTATATGTGTCTCAATAGTAAAGCACGAGCTGAATCCTCAATTGTTAGAAGAAGAAGACACATAAACAAAAATACAGGTAAACTGTTCATGGGGGTGATAAACTTTGATAACACGTTGTGTTCTACTGTGGATGAATTACTTAACTCTGTCACCTCTAGTGTTTTGAATGTTAGGGACACGATTGCTCCTGTAAAGGTCAAAATTGTTACAAATAAGCAAAAGGCTTATAAGAAAAAAAAAATATTTTTCCGAAACTATTGAAGGTTGCAGTAACAATCTACGTGTTCTGTTCTCAACAGTGAATAAATTGACGAATCCCCCTGTTAAGATGCCACCAGAGCTTACCCTTAATGAGTTTGCAGAGTTTTTTAATGACTAAGTCCAAGGCATCAAAAACGCCATCACCTCCACAGTAGAAATTACAATCCAACAGCCAGTGAAGCTTTTTGGGGTGACGCACTTTACACCAGTACAAAATGAAACTGTCCAAATGATAATTACAAGTCTGAGTTCTTCTACATGCAGCCTGGATGTATTACCTCCTAGACTTCGTAAATCTGTTCTGAGCAGTCTTTTACCTTCACTCACGCATATAGTAAATATGTCTCTTGAATCTGGAACATTCCCAATGGCCCTGAAAACGGCAGTCATCAGACCCCTCCTATAAAAGAGGAGTTTGCCCATTTCAAATCTGCCTTTCATGGGTAAAATATTAGAAAATGTTGTCTATCAACAACTTACAGAATTTTTTATAATCAATCACTCTTTTGATATGTTCCAGTCTGGTTTTAGACCCCACCACAGCACAGAGACCGTGCTAATAAAGGTAACAGATGACATCAGACTTAACAATGACGCAGGAAAAGTCTCAGTTCTTATCCTGTTAGATTTAAAAGCGCTATACCCGTTTCTGCAAGGTTTGAATGTTTAGCACTGCCCTCCAACTCGCTCAATGGCTTCTCATTTCCCCTACGCTCTCATAACACAGAGCCATCTAGCTCAATTTGCGATCTGACATGTATGCTAACATTAGCATTAGCACAACTTCTTGTAAGCTGTACAACAATCACTGATGAAATGGTACTAAAGCAACGCACTGCTAACACAATATATAAGTAAAAGAATACCGCTAGTTATGCGTCCAAATTTTATTCGTTAAAACATCAGAATATATTTGAGTATTAATTATATTTTATTATACAGCTCCTCACAGCGGCAGTAGAACACTCCATTGACTTGAATGTAATTCTACTGATCATTTTTTCTTGATAACAGAACTCTCAAACCAATAATGACCGCTGCCCTTTGACAATGCAATCTCTGTTTGTAATTCAGGTGTGTAAAATACTACCATTACTTTGCAAGTACAACGAGAGAATCTAGCGGAGCTAGCCACGCTCAATAAACAACTACATATCTATCAATCAACACCATTAAATGTTGGACAATGGACAATACAGTGTACATATACATCCTTAACACACATGCACGGACTTTTTCAGAATTTCTTGTTATCGTTTTCATGACCAAATTACTATTTTAATGTGATAAGCGATCGCTAAAAACCCGGAAGTTTTTTTATTAACATGTAGATCCAGGGAGCTAGCTAGCTTAGCTGTTACCTGCCTAGCACGTCCCGGTGAAACCTTTGGGAGCTAACTATTTTATTTGCAGTCATTAAATACATTTCGAATTTTGAGGGCTGTCTAATATGTGTTCGAATATATATATATATATTTTTTTAATTTTAGAATTATTTTGAAGCCGAAGCCCTAGTTTTTAGCAGCGCTGTAGGGGCTAGAGGACACTGGCTGTCCGCTGCTCGTTCTGTGAGCGGAGGAGAACGCACGGCCCGCTCAGACTCTACTCAGTACTTTTCACTGCTTGTAATTCATACACAGCTGAATCAATTACCTCAAGTTTTCAATTAAATTACGGATTATAATGCAACTTGTATGTAGTAATAAGCATTTTTATCAACTACTTAGAAAAGAAATCGGGTATAGCTTCTTTAAGTGCTGCTTTCGACACTATCGATCATGGTATCCTCATTCAGAGACTTGAGGACTGGGTTGGTGTTTCTGGCACAGCCCTAAGCTGGTTTAGGTCGTACCTACAGGACAGAATTTTGTGGAGATCGGAAACTGTATCTCTGACCATTTGACCCTAACCTGCGGAGTGCCACAGGGATCAATCCTGGGGCCTCTCCTGTTTAATATGTACATGCTGCCTTTGGGTAGGTTAATACACAGTAATAACGTCTCCTATCACAATTATGCTGATGATACTCAGGTCTATGTGTCCCTGACAGCAGGAGAACATGGACCAGTAGACTCACTGCAAAATAACTTTCTCCAGCTAAACACAGAAAAAACTGAAATTATTGTTTTTGGACTCCAGAAACAAAGAGAGCGCGTTATCTGTCATCTCCAATCTCTCTCCCTAAAACCCTCAACTCAGGTCAGAAATCTCGGAGCAATAATGGACTCAGACTTAAATTTCAATATCATATCATCAGCTTATTACCACCTAAAAAACATTGCTAAAGTTAAAAACATAGTGTCTAAAGCAGACTTGGAGATCCTTATCCACGCATTTGTGTCCAGTAGGTTAGACTACTGCAATGGCCTGCTCACAGGTCTGTCCAAACAGGCTGTAAAACAGCTGCAGTACATACATTCAAAATGCAGCAGCTCGAGTCCTGACTAGAACCAGGAAGTACGACCACATTAGTCCAGTCCTCAGGTCTCTGCACTGGCTTCCTGTTCCTCAGAGAATAGACTTTAAAACAGCTTTACTTGTGTACAAGTCTCTCCATGGCCTCGCACCGAGGTACATCCGCGACATGTTGGTGCCATATGAACCAACTCGGGCTCTGAGGAGCCCAGGGACTGGACTTCTGTTAGTGCCAAGAGTCGGAACTAGACATGGGGAGGCTGCGTTTCAGATTCATGCAGCTAGAGTCTTGAACAGTCTTCTCGAGAATGTGAGACAGGCGTCTACTCTGGCAGTTTTTAAAACTGAACTGAAAACAGTTCTTTTTAGCTGTGCATACAAGTGAATGATTTTATCTTTAATCTTTTAAATGCACTATGACTATTTATGATTTTAATCCCATGTGTGATTTTAATGTTTTACGGTTTTTAACTACTTGTGTGATTTTATTTTTTATGTTTTTAATATATGTTGTGCTCTTAATCTGTCTTTTTATGTTTACTTAAATTCTAATGTTTGATGATTTATGCATGATGTAATATGGGTTGTGAGGCGCTTTGCGTTGCCTTGTGCAGGAAAAGCGCTCTACAAATAAACGTTGATTGATTGATTATAATGATGAATTCAGATTATACCACAGTTGTTTCAAAGTGTCATGAAAAATCCGAAAGTCCCGCCTAGACTTCATTTCTGGACATGAGTTTGCCTTTTACATTTTACTTTGGACTAGAGTAGAGAAAATTGTCCGAACCAAGCGGCTACACTTTTGTTAGCTATTTTTTAGATGTATCTATTTATTTGTTTTGTTTGTGTGGATGGATGAGTTTCTGCTGCTACCTGAATTTCTCCTACGGGGATCAATAAACTATCTATCTATACTAAGACTTCATTATTAATAGAATGTATTGCCCTCATTTTGACAAGTTAATATAATATGTTATGAAATGTACGCAAATGATGGATATCTTGTTTAAAATATCCATAATTTGCAGTTTATTTTCAAATATTAGCGAGAAATAATATAGAGAAATTTTTTTCTCCTGTGTGAGATCAATAAAGTCTATCTTATCTTGAATCAAGACAGGAGGATTAGGGACTTGGAAAATTGCTGCTATGTGATCGGAATCATAGCAACAACAGCAACTTTGTAATTTCTTTAAACGGACTGGGGAAATAATAAGGACAAGTTCTCGGTACTGGTATGTGAAAACGCCTTTTATAAATGTTACAAAGGTCAACTATGAAGTGAGTGAAGTCTATTTCTTGAATGAAAAACAGGAAAAGGAGGGAATGTGAATTTGAATGCGTGCCACTCAGTCACATTCCAGACATACCGCCCTGCTTCAGTAACTCGGAGACCAGGCCTAGAAAATGAAGTGATCTAAGAGTGAGATAATGTCCTAAATATGAAAGACAGGGAAAGTATGATGCCTGAGGTCACTGAGGTGACTGGGAGTCCGGCCCACAAAACAAAACAAACAACAAAACCCAAACGCACTTCACCCTTTTTTTTCAATGATCCAAGGTTTAAAATGATGGCACCTCACAACAACTGCACAGTTCAGCGAGTGATGGTTTAATGGATCACAAACTTAATGTTAAAAATCATCTATTGTATGCATTCTTTTTTTTAAATAATTAGAGTAATTCTGGGTTTAGTTGATTCATAGATATGTTGTTTTTTCCAGTATGAAACTGCAACTTGCTGTATGAGCGTGTGTCATCACAGTCGCGCAGGACTAAACTGCTTTCAGAGGGAGCTGGTCAACACGTGTAATCCAAGAGGCCTAGCAAGCAAAATTCAAGTAAAGTGTGGGTGTAGTGAAAGTTCAGTTAAGTGGTAATTTAGTTCCAGTTATTTAGTCTAAACCTGCACGTAGTCCTGGTATTAGTCCTGGTCAGTCCCAATCTAGATATCCCAGTGTTGATGTTTTTAATGTAAACATGTGACACGTGTTGCAGCTGGCCGCATCTTCAGCGTGCACAAACATATTTTTTCTGCATCACTCTTAGTTCACAGCTTTAATTGGGTCAATACTGGGTCTATTGAAGAACTTTAAGCACATAGCAAAACTCTAATCTGTACAAGAAAAAGTGAGCTGTCAGTAGACCAGGTGGTCTGGTTGGAGACTGAGTGGGAAGAGGTGGGGGGAGATGGACGCAGACAGGAGCGCAGATGTCAGAGTCCTAGGACTGGGATTTATGTGGTCCAGGGTCGGTTTATTTTCTCAACCGTGCCAGACCAACTGTGCTGTGGTACAACGCTTGGTACAACGCTTGGTCCAGCTGGTGGCGCGAATACTAACTTCATCTACTACCTTGTTACACCCCGAGGGACAAAACCATATTAGAGGGCACAGAGACAGGTTGAGAGTTCAAATTTGATTTTATTTATATATTTTCTTAGTAGTGAACTCTAAGTTTTATTATTTATGAATATGAAGATTAATCAAAAGAAACCCAACCCCGTATCCAGAACACAAAAACCCAAAGTAATCAAATTAAAGGTGGACCTGGTGGGCCAGCCAAAACAAACAAAATGGGCCGACACCGAACCAACCCTATACAGGGCCGTCCGGATCCGATGCAGACACCCTAACTAAAGAATAAAGAAAACCCAAGTAGCTACACCCTCACCGACAAAAATGTAACCACCGGACCCATCAGATCAAACAAAAATAAGGGCAAGGAAAAAGCTAACGAATGGCTAAGAAAACAACCAAACCATGCGGCGTCTGGGGAGTTCGCAACCAGGACCAAGAGGGAACGCGCAGAGATTCAGATTCAGATTAATTTATTTGCCATTTGCAGTAAAACCACATTGGAAAACTGTGCAAGACTACCCCGGTGTGCGCCAGACAGAGAAGACGACACACACCAGAGCTCTTGCCACGGCGCCATCTTTACGGCGCCATGCGACAAACAGTAGAATAAACAGCAGAGAGCAATATCATACAGATTACACAGACAGTTGGATAGACACATTGTGCTTTGAATAAACCACGGATTTATTCTCGGGATGAGCGCCTCCTACAGCCGGCCCAATGTGGCAACAGCACGTGCACGCTCACCTCAGCAGGTGCTACAAAAGAGGCTGAGAGCAGAGAGGGGCAGGAGTGCACCAGGACAGCGCTTCTTATACTCCCGGCCTGAAAAAAAACAATCTTACCAAAAAATATAAAACCCAAAAATACCTGGACAAAAAAAGATAGGGCACCTTTTCCCCTTTTGGTTTTATGTCTTAACATAACATACCTCAAGGTCCGAGTTGGGTTTCCCTTTCTCTTCCTGTTTACAATGGGCTCTATGCACGCACCACTTCCGCGTTTTAGCTACAACCCCACTTCACTTCCTGTTTGCGGGAAACGGGTTCAGTTTCACTGGAGTTCAGCAGTGGTTTACACGAGTTTCCCAAATAATGCTCAAACGGGAATTAAACTGTGAGGATACTGGGCATTTTTGGGACACAGCAGTGACTTTGATTGTGCTGTCATTGTGTTTTTATAAAGTTTACAAATCTCTCTGAGTGGCCACAGTTCTCGCGATGCTGCAGACTAAACCAGACTAAATTCACGTGGGCTACCCAGAAATTTTCCCAGAAAATGTAAACTAAAAACAGCTTGACCTAAACTGACATGGAGCCTACAGCTTGTCATCCTGAACTTTTTTCTTCTTAAATCCTTTGGTTTTCTTTAAATCCACACTTTAGTGCCACAAACTCTGCCCATCTGGCTCCCGCTCTGATGAACTGTTCTGATTGGTCAGAGCGCAGCCGAGCCCCTCTGTGCACGTGCGTCAAAATGACGTGCGCTGACACGGTTGCAATACCACCCCGGGGTGATGGGGGTGGACCCAGAAGAAGAAATAGCCAATGCTAACATATAGCATGGTCCACCATCTTGGTATGCTTCGGCTGCCGTAAGATGCGCATGCGCAGGTTTGCATTACTGTACATCATAAACAGCTGAGGAAGTGCATCTCTTCAAGGCAGTGTATCTCGGCGTTACACCGGTATCTACTTCCGGGTTTTTCGGGATCGGCTTTTCTCGCATACATCAGTGTTTTTGTCATAAAAACGTAAACGGAAAATTCTGAAAACTTGTGTGCACTTGTATTAAGAATGTATATGTCCAATGTACTCTCTGATTAACATTTAATTGCGTTGATTGATTGGCATTTGCGTTTAATGAGCGTGGCTAGCCCCGGAGTGGCCGGAACTACTTCCGGGTTTTTCACGGTCGCTTTTTGACGCAGAATAAATAGTATTTTTGTCATGAAGACAAGACCAGTAAATTCTGAAAATCTCCGTGCATGTGTGTGAAGAATTTATAAGTATTCTCCGATTAACATTAAAGTGTGTTGATTGATTGATATTTGCGTTTATTGAGCGTGGCTAGCTCCTGAGTGGCCGGAAACTACCTGCGGAGTTATCCACGCATCTGAAATACAAGCAGTCATTATTGTTTTGAGAGGTACGTTATAGAAAATAATGACCGGTAGAACGTTTTGAAATTACATTCAAATCAATGGAGCATTCTACTGCTGCTGTGAGGAGCCGTATAATAAGTGTCTATATCCCAAGCTTCGCTTGCATATCTTCCCCACACCCTCCGCCAGCTAATGCGTGTTTCAGAGGAACCCTAATGCAAACTTTCCAAAGAAGAATGGCTGTGGTGATGACTAAAAGCTTTATGATGCATCTGCCGATTCTTGATAAAAAATGTGGAGAAACCAGTTTGATGTGTTTTCATTCTGCAGAGTGCCTCAAGCAGTTACCTCTTGTTTGTTTTGAGGCCTTGCCTCTGGACCTATTGCTCTCATGTTTAAGTACTGTAGTCTACATTATAACATTACACTTCTATCTGACATATGTTTCCCATCTAGCACTTCCATGTGACGGTACCGATGATGTGGGTGGATTATTACCCCTACTCAGGCAGTGCTGTTCCGTTGCAGTGATTGTCGTAGCGGGGGGGGGGGGGGGGGGTGGGGGGGGGGGGGGGGGGGGGGGGGGGGGGGGGGGGGGGGGGGGGGGGGGGGGGGGGGGGGGGGGGGTGTCTTAGGGGTTGTGTGGGGGGGGGGGGGTTGTTGGGTTGGGGTGGGGGTGTTTGTGTTTGGGGGTGGTGTGTGGGAGGAGGGGTGGGGGAGGGTATGGGGTGGGGGTGTGGGGGGTACGTATTGAGAGTGAAGAAGATGTATGGGTATAACACAAGGGGGGGTACTATCTATATGATTTAGAGAGAGAGTGATGATGGGTGTTTTTGTGTAGGGTTAATGTGGAGTGTGGGAGGTGGTGTAGTGAGGTATAGTATTGTGTGTAGAATATGTGTAGGGGATGTGAGTGGGGATATGGGGGATGGGGTGGTGGGTTGAGTGTTGTTGGGGGTGGGGGGGTGGGGGGGGGGTTGGGGGGTGGGGGTTGGTTGTGGTGGGGGGGTTGGGGGTGGGGGGGGGGTTGGTTTTGGGGGGGGGGGGGGGGGTGGTGTGGGGGGGGGGTGGGGGGGGGGGGTGGGGGGGGGGTGTGGGGGGGGGTGGGTTGGGTGGGGGGGGGTGTGTTGGGGGGGTTGGGGGGTGGTTGGGGGGGGGTTTGGGGGTGGGGGGGGGGGGTTGGGGGGGGGGGTGTGGTGGGGGGTTGTTTGGGGGGGGGGGTGGGGTGGGTGGGGTGTGGGGGGGGTGGGGGTGTGTTGGGGGGGGGGGGTGGGTGTGGGGTTTGGGGGGGGGTGGGGGGGGGGGGGGGGGTTTTGTGGGGGGGGGGTTGGGGGGGGGTGGTGGGGTGGGGGGGGGGGGGGGTTGGGGGGGGGGGTGGGGGTGGGGGGGGGGGGGGGGGGGGGGGGGGGGGGGGGGGGGGGGGGGGGGGGGGGGGGGGGGGGGGGGGGGGGGGGGGGGGGGTGGGTGGGGTGGGGGGTTGGGGGGGGGGGGGGGGGGGGGGGGGGGGGGGGTGGGGGGGGGGGGGGGGGGTGGGTGGGGGGGGGGTGGGTGGGGGGGGGGGTTGGGGGGGGGGGGGTGGTTGGGGTGTGTTGGGGTGGGGTGGGTGGGGGGGGGGGGGGGGGGGGGGGGGGGGGGGGGGGTGTGTGGGTGGGGTTGGTGGGGGGGGGGGGGGTGGGGGGGGTGGTGTGGGGGGGGGGGGGGGGGGGGGGGTGGGGGGGTGGGGGGGGGTGTTTTGGGAGGGGGTGGTGGGGGGGGGGGGGGTGTGGGTGGGGGGGGGGGGGGGGGGGTGTGGGTGGGGGGGTGGGGGGGGGTGGTGTGGGGGGGGGGGGGTGGTGGTTGGTGGTGTGTGGGGGGTATAGGGGAATGGTTGTTTGTATGGATTTGGTTTTTAAAGATGAGGAGATGGAGGGAGGAAGGAGATTAGAATGGATGGGGTTAGTGTGTAGATTTTTGGATATGATTGGTTTAGTGTGGGGTAATTTTTTTTGATAAAAAAGATGATGGGTATATATGGGGGTTAGGTG